TACACCCACCTTAAAGGAAACTTCGTGTCACTACTATAGATGGAAAACAGGTGGGGGTCTTCTCTCACTCGCGTTACAAATTCTTAACTGTTTTAAAAAAAAAAAAAGACATTTTCGCGCACCATCTAAACTCAACCAGACTAAGGCACACCAAAGACGTGTGTATTTCGGCGTATGTAGATTTTGTCTCTGAAAGGTACGTTGAAAGGAACTCCAGCCGAGGACCGGCACAGCGCTCCGGGAAGGGTTCCGAAATCCGCAGGTTGAAGGTGACCGAGATGACACAGTTTGAGGGACATCAGACGTAGGAACAGGGCCACGGCGAGAGGAGCAGCGTCTTAACCTAGCCCTAGGTGGGGAGGATAGGATAGTCACTGTGCAGTTGTCAGTTTTTCTCTTTATCTGAAAATTGTCCTTAGAAAATGCTTAGAACGAAAATTCTAAAAATTACCCAGAATTGGAAAGAGAAGGGGGTATGAACTAGCGTAAGGAGCTGGGGAAATATTTGACAGCAGGACTAGAGTTGCTGGGGAGGGGGAGCCCTGGAGGATGATCAGGGGGCTGCCAGGCCTCCCAGAGGGGGCTGGACCAGGAGTTCCAGTCCAGGGAGGGTGCAGCCGGGCCGCCCCCGGAGTCACCCGGTGCTGGGAAAGCTCTGGCCGACCCCAACCTCGGGAAGCTCCCACCTGCCCAGTCCTGGGGATAAGGTCGCTGGAGCGGCCCTGAGAAGGCAAACTCGGGGTGTCACCCCAGTGTCACCCAGATCTTGCAGGCTCACCCTGATACCCAGATCGCCAGGCCTGAGAAGGCGCCCAGTGTCATGAGGATTAAATCTCAGCTGCCTGGTCTACCGCAGTTACAAACCGACCCACTGAGGACCTGGCAGTCCGGCGACTGAGAAGTTGTCCAATAAACTACCACACACGTCCACGGGTATTCCCTAAAGTTGTGTTGGAAAAAAAAAAAGAAAGAAAGAAAGAAAGAAAAAAGAAAAAAAAAAGAAAGAAAGAAACAGCCCAACTCCATCAACGTCAAGGGCAAGACATCAACAGGCCACAGGAATGAGGAGGACCAGGCTGTAAACAAGAAGAAACACTGTGTTGTTCCAGGAAACAAGAGAAGAAAGCAATCACAGAACTGAGCATTGGTGAGCTATCATTTCTGTAAAAGGGGCAGGGATATTTAAATTTGCTGCTGTTTGCACACTAAATCTCTGAAAGGTACACAGGTGCACACGTACACACACAAGACCAATAATTAATATGTACAGGTGTGGAAGCTGCACAATTGGGGGCAGAGGTGATATGAAGACTTTTTTTAAAATGAACTTTAATTTTGAACAATTTTAGATTCATAGAGAAAATGCAAAAACTAAGACTTTCCATAAAGTCCACACCCAGTTTCCCCTATTATTAACATCCTACATTGAAATATGTTTATTACAACAAACGATCCAGTGTTGATACATCTTGTTTCAGATTTCCTTGGCTTTTACCAAGTGTCCCTTCTGTTCCAGGATCACATCAAAGAGACCACAGCACATTTAATGGTCTTGTCTCAGGCCCTTCTTGGCTGTGTGTTTCTTCTCAGGCTTTCTCTAGTTTTGAAGAGCACTGGGCAGGATTTTGTAGAATGTTCCTCCGTGTTGGAACCTGCCTAACCGTTTTGCTAGAATGCACACTTTTTACCGTATGCCTTTGAATAGTTTTTTCTTTAAACTACCTGAACTATGTGAATCTGTTACCTGTTTAAATTCATTAAAAGACAATCTGCAGAAACTAGGAAGAAGGGAAAGGAGAGGGAGGGCAAGTAAGGAGGGAAGAAGAGGGGGAGGAGGGCGGTAAAGATAAAATGTAATTTGAAATGAACTCTAGCCGAGGCTACTTACCCCATCTACCCCTTCACCCAGGATCTCCCTACGTGACTGTGAAAACGTCCAGCACTGCAAATAAAGCACGACGCAGACAGCTGGTTTAGAAGCTGGGAAAGCCTTCGGGCTTGGGTTTTTGACCTGGCCACTCGGACCGACTCCCGACAGGGCTAGAGCACGTGCAAGGTGCCAGATCCAGCCCAGAGCAGGGGTAGCCAGCACAATCTAGACCGGTTCGTGGGTGACAGATGACGGACAGAACAGAGTGGTGGGCGGAGCAAATATTCTGCTAAAAACAACAACAACAACAACAAAATGTGTTTCTAGGGCTGGGCTGTGGCTCAGTGTCGAGCACTTGCCTTAGCATGCATGAGGCACTGGGTTTGATCCCCAGCACCACATATAAGAACTAAGTAAACAAAATAAAGGTATTGTGCCCATCTACAACTAAAAAAATTTTTTTAAGTGTTTCTAACTTTTAAATACAAATGCCTCTAATTATCAAAGATTTTTTTGAACCATTGAATATAATGAAACACTCACTGCCTGGAGGAAGCCCAGGCTCCTGCAGGACCCCCGCGGGCGCACCTGGCACCTCGCGTCCCCAGCAGGTCCCCAGCGGGGTCGAAGGCGCAGGGGTGAGACTGCGCAGAGAGGTTTCTGCAGGCGGCGACCCCAGATCTGACTAGTAACTGTTGGCCAGGACTCTCTGTCCGACAAAGGGTTTCAAGCTGAGCCCGCAGGGGAGCACCCTGATCAGGCCCTTCCTGCCCCCAGCCCTTCCCGCCTTGAGGCCTTTGCAAGGGTTGCCCTCTCGGCCTGGGCTTGCCGGGCCCCTTCCACCCTTGGGCAGCTTGTTGCGATCAGGTCGCTTCCTTGCGCCAGGTCCACCCCGTCAAAGGTCAGCTCCCTGTGTAACCTGACCCGCATTTCCTTCCCTATCTGCCTCCTCCCCGACGTCCTCCTGCCTCCTGATGAGGTCATCTCCCTGAACCCTTTCTCAAAAGGCCCTAGGGGGTCAGACTACCAACGCCCTTGACCCTTCTCTTACAGACGCGCCCAGTAATTCCAAGAGCTAGGCAAAGAGCCCGGTTTAAAACCCCAGCACCACCCCGCAGTTCTCCTCTTGTGCATTTCTTAAAATAATTTACCTATGAACCTCCTCTCCTAATGTCATCTAAACTTTCTCATTGTAAGTTCAAGCAGCTGCAAAAGATGTGATTTCCGTGTATTTTGTAAATGCTAATTTAAAGAATAACTAAGTATAAGGTGTTCTAAAGTGTTCTGAATGAAATCTAGACACACACCGCCCCCCATGGATATCACATAAACCACAATCTGTGATGAACGTACACAGATTAGCTTCTCTTTAACATTTGGAAAGTTTACATTTTATTTCCCACTTGAACTCATATTTTCATACTATTCCCCCCCCCAAAAAAAATTTCTTCATATAATACATATTTTATGCTCGAATACATTTATTGATCACTTAGTTTGACCCTCAGCATTTATTGATCACTTAGTGTGCCCCTCAGCAATACAAATATGTTCATAAATGGACATTTTTTCTTGGGACCATAAGTCCCTGAGTGTTCTTGCAAAAGGACCAGGCCAATGACAAACTTTTTTTTTTTTTATTGTTGGTTGTTCAAAACATTACATAGTTCTTGATATATCATATTTCACACTTTGACTCAAGTGGGTTATGAACTCCCATTTTTACCCCATATACAGATTGCAGAATCACATCAGTTACACTTCCATTGATTTACATATTGACATACTCAAGTCTGTTGTATTCTGCTGCCTTTCCTATCCTCTACTATCCCCCCTCCCCTCCCCTCCCCTCTTCTCTCTCTACCCCCTCTACTGTAATTCATTCCTCCCCCTTGTATTCTTTTTCCCTTTCCCCTCACTTCCTCTTGTATGTAAGTTTGTATAACCCTGTGGGTCGGGACACTGCTACATCGATGTTCATAGCAGCACAATTCACAATAGCAAGACTGTGGAAGCAACCTAGATGCCCTTCAATAGACGAATGAATAAAAAAAATGTGGCATTTATACACAATGGAGTATTACTCTGCATTAAAAAATGACAAAATCATAGAATTTGGAGGGAAATGGATGGCATTAGAGCAGATTATGCTAAGTGAAGCTAGCCAAGCCCTAAAAAACAAATGCCAAATGTCTTCTTTGATATAAGGAGAGTAACTAAGAACAGACTAGGGAAGAAGAGCATGAGAAGACTAACATTAAACAAGGATGAGAGGTGGGAGGGAAAGGGAGAGAGAAGGGAAATTGCATGGAAATGGAAGGAGACCCAATGGCAAACTTGACAAATCATTTCAGCCTTTTATTCAGAAGCAGGATTACACCCACGGGAATGGCCCCACCCTCCTGGTGGAAAATAGCCCCTGGCCGCAGGAGGAGTTTGGGCTTATAGAGGTGATTTGGTGAGCATGTCAGTTTGGGCACTCAGGAATTTGGGTTTTGGGGTTAGGGGTGGTAGCCAGGATTTATCTTGGAAGAGATTAGTGTTTCCTAGAGACTATCATTCTAGGTTTGATAAAACACTTTCTCCCCTTCAGCGGCCACTATCTGGAAAGCCCTTTATCTTGAAAGAGATGAAAGCTATCAATGTATGGCTTTCTTTTTCATTCCCTTTCCCGGGCCTCACTATTTTGGGGCTTTTCATTTTCCATATCTAATACTGAATGTCAAAATTTTCTTCTAAATTAACATATCATTACTTTTATAAGTACTCATCATAAATATATGTATATATATTTTTTAAATAAGTATTACATGGAAAAATATAAATCAATCAAAAATGAATATCCATGAAGTCAGGTGCAATGCCACTAGCCTATAATCCCAGTGTTGGGGAGGCTTGGTGGGGGAGGCTGAGGTAGGAGAAAGGGCAAGTTGAAAGCCAGCG